CAGAGGTACTACGTCTATGCAACCAGCATTTTGTTTGCACTTGTATTGATTTGTGACCTTCAATTCTGTCCATTACTTGCTTTAAGCTTTTCAAAACCTGTATTGATAATATTGCAGATTTCTGGTACAAAATTCTATGCAACCATAGATTTGGATAAGGCAAGAGTTGGGCGGACCAGAATCTTTGCAAATGACCCTTCCAACCCACGGTGGTATGAAACATTTCGTATTTACTGTGCACATGAGATTTCAAACATCATTTTTACAATAAAAGATGAGAATCCTGTAAGTGCAACACTAATTGGAAGAGCTTATCTTCCTGTTGAGGAAGTCTTGAATAGATATGTTGTCGATAGATGGGTACCAATATTAGATGAGGACGGCTATCCAATAAGTGGTCGTTCAAAAATCCATGTAAGGTTGCAGTTCTTTAACGTTAAACAAGACAGTAATTGGTCTAGAGGAATTAGTTCCGCGGCATTTGGAGGAGTCCCTTATACCTTCTTTAAAGAGAGACAAGGTTGTCAAGTTACACTTTACCCTGATGCAGACATCTCAGATGATGATATCACAAATTATCTCAAGTCTCAAGGACTTTTGGAACCTCAGAGATGTTGGGAAGACATTTTTGATGCAATCAACAATGCAAAGCACTTAATTTATATAGCTGGTTGGTCTGTATATACTAAAATCACCTTGATAAGAAACCCAAAGAGGTCAAAGATTGGCGGAGACCTTACTCTTGGCGAGCTCCTTAAAAAGAAGGCGAGTGAGGGTGTTAATGTTCTCTTGTTAATTTGGGATGATAGAACTTCAGTTGAGGTACTAAAAAGAGATGGACTGATGTCAACCCATGATCAAGAAACTGCAGAGTATTTTAAGAACACAGATGTACACTGTTGTTTGTGTCCGCGCAACCCTGATAGTGGAAAGACTATAACTCAGGGGTTTCAGGTTGGTACAATGTTTACTCACCATCAAAAGACTATTGTCGTAGACAGCGAAATTCCAGGAGGGCTGTCACAGAAAAGAATGATAATTAGTTTTCTTGGTGGTATTGATCTTTGCGATGGGAGATATGACACTCGCGAACACTCCTTATTCAGGACATTGGATACAGTACACAAACAAGATTTCCATCAGCCCAATTTTCCAGGCTCTTCAATTGTGAAAGGTGGTCCTAGAGAGCCCTGGCATGATATTCATTGCCGGCTAGAAGGACCTGTTGCCTGGGATGCCTTGTACAATTTTGAGCAAAGGTGGCGAAAACAGATTGGAAACAGATTTATCTATTCTATGATTGAGCTTGATAAATTTATTATTCGTCCAACAGAAGTTACAGCATCAAAGGATAGAGAAACGTGGAACGTTCAGATATTTCGATCCATTGATGGTGGTGCTGTTGTTGACTTCCCTGGAAAACCAGAAGAAGCTGCTGAGGTAGGCCTTGTTACTGGCAAGAATAATGTCATTGATCAAAGCATTCATGATGCATATATTAGTGCCATTCGTCGAGCTAAAAATTTCATTTACATTGAAAACCAATACTTTGTTGGAAGCTGCTATGGTTGGAAACCATCAGAAGATATCAAGCTCGAGGACATCGGAGCTTTGCATCTTATCCCAAAGGAGCTATCACTTAAGATTGTGAGCAAGATTCAAGCGGGAGAGAGATTTACAGTTTACGTTGTTATTCCAATGTGGCCAGAAGGTATACCTGAGAGTGATTCAGTTCAGGCAATTTTAGATTGGCAAAGAAGGACAATGGAAATGATGTACACAGACATATGTAATGCCCTTAAGGCTAAGGGAATTATTAATGCTGATCCTAGAGATTACTTGACATTTTTCTGCCTTGGCAACCGTGAAGTCGAAAAGCCTGGAGAATATAAACCTTCAGAGAAACCAGATCCTGATACTGATTATGCAAGAGCTCAAGAGTTTAGGCGCTTTATGATCTATGTTCATTCAAAAATGATGATTGGTAAGTCAATAATTTACTGCCATTTTCAGCTTTATGATCTAGTAGAATTTGATCAAACTAATGCTTGTTCCTTTCCCTTCTTTCTTGAAGTTGATGATGAATACATCATAATTGGCTCCGCGAACATAAATCAACGGTCAATGGATGGTGCAAGAGATTCTGAGATTGCTATGGGCGGCTACCAACCATATCATCTTGCAGCTAATCAACTACCTAGAGGAAAAATATATGGTTTTCGAATGGCATTATGGTGTGAGCATCTCAACTATGCAGATGACTCGTTTGTCGATCCAACGAGTCTAGAATGTGTTAGGAAAGTAAATGGAATGGCTGATGAGAGTTGGAGGATATATTCCAGTGATACATTTGATTTTGATCTTCCAGGGCACCTTCTTCGCTATCCTGTAAATATTTCAAACACTGGACAGATTACAGCAATTCCTGGATTTAAGTTCTTCCCAGACACAAAAGCTTCTGTTCTTGGCACCAAATCTCAATTACTCCCACCTATCCTCACTACATGATGTATGTACACTTCTAGAATGGTACAAACCAAGAACATGTAATAGCTGTAAATGTGACACTTTGGAATTATTTTTTGAGTTATAACCATTTACCAAAATTCATTTATACTCGGGTTAAAAAGGGCAGCTTGGCGCACAAAGCATCCCGCACCTCAAGGGGTGTGATGTAGGCAGCCTACCCTAACGCAAGCGTTAGTGGTTGATTCCACGGCTTGAACCTGTGTCCTATAACACCGAAATAACTTTTTCGTTGCTCCAAAGCTCCCCTTCTTATTAATACTCAGGTTATGAAGTGGTTTATAGTTGGATGATGTTAGCAGCATATTTTAGCAAACATATATGCCTTTACTAGTTTGGTTCCCTTATTGCATTCAGGTCCTCTTGTTTCTAGGCTACCCTTCAGAAGAATAGAATCACATGTTTGGTCGAGTCCTCGGAATGGAAAAACTTTTCTCCTTTTGTGGGCCTTATGAATCACATTAGTCGGGCCAGTAAGTTTGCGAGACCGGATTATTAAATAAAGAAACAAAAAAGAATCACATGTTTGGTTCAAAGCTAGTGGGGACCAGAATTTAGGAGGATAGATGTGATAGATTATTGTCTTACAATGAGCTTATACCGAATTCATGAACCAAATATAATACTATGAATATGGAATGATAAATTGTAGTATTATGATCTGTTATTGGCTATTTATGAGTTTGAAACTTCTTGCCTCATTCAGAACAGCATTTGGTCAATGGGGAAATGGCTTCATACAATTTGTTCCTTTTTCTTTTGCTTGAAATTATTGTCCTGGTAAAAAGAATCTCAGTGGACAAAGGCCTTATTACTTTAATTTCTAAATGCGGCTATTTTTCTTATTTAACATCTTACCATTACTCTAGTATGTAAGTGAGTTCCATTAAAAGGATTATTGAGTGCATGAATGAGGTAATGCAATAATACATTATTGTCGAGTTATACAAGAAAAAACGAAATTAAAAAGGGAAAACTTTCAAGGATTCTAAATTCTAATTTATTTTGTTTCATTATCTCCGATCAGAAGATGTTAAAGTTATCATCAACTAGATATTCCTACTATTAATAAAGGACAGTTGAGGAGTTCCATTTACCAATCAACAAGTGATATTTATGGTAGTTTGTGATAGAGAAAATTATCTTTCTCTTGAATCCAGGACTTCATAATCAAGAAGAATCAAACAATTTTGCTTTCCTTTCTCGTTTTCCACCAAAATCAAGGTAAGAAAACTAAATTATTTCCTCTCACTTTCTCTACTATTTATCCTCTTTTCCTAGTGGTCACTATTTCCTTCATTTTCCTAGTGGCCAAGCATAAAGAAATGGTAAAATAAATGGTGCATTTTAATTGGATAAAAGTAGATAAAAGAATAGCACAATCAAAAGGTACCAAATTTCAAAAGTGCCAACTTGGAGAAATTTCTCACTCCACATTTCTAGAGGGCAAATTTGTCTTTGCATTCAACAAGAATACTCAAAAGGGCCCACAACCCATACATTTACCCACCTCCATTAGCACCAGTCCAGCAAGGCTGCACAGCCCCCCCTTATTTTCTTCACCATTTTCCCATCTCCATTCTTGACTTTCTTATACAAATCCACAGAACATATTGATAAAACCAAAATATTAATAAGAACAAAACACAACTCCCAGGAAATTTTCTTTTTTTTCTTCTTCTTTTTGTTTACTGCTTAATTCCATAATAGCAAAGAAGGAGAAAAAGGCTAAGAAATTGTAAGTAACTCAACCACAAAAAATTTATACATTTTTACACCCAAATCTCTTCTTTTTTTTTTCCTATGTAAAGTGATAGAAAAAAATGGAAAGTTTGAATCTTTTTTAGTTAAAACTGCAGGTAAGAGATGAATTTTGTGTCAGTATTGGAGGTCCAGAAGTTGAAATCGATGCTTTGACGAATACCCATTTGTTTATTTCACAGTGTAAATGCAACTTTGTAGATCAGTAGCCTCCTGGATTTCACGTTTCTTCGCTTGCATGGGGTCAGTCATTTGATTTTAATTTTCTTTTCATATAAAACATTCCGCTGTCCGCTTTTTATTTTCCCCTTTTGGGGTTGGTGGTTTTGTATTTCACACACACACACACACACACACTCATATACACTCCAAGGGTTGGTTGAGTGGTTGAGGTTAAGATAAAAACGTGGAGATCCCGGTCCCCATTTGTGCTTGTGACCTGTAGCTGGTTGCCTGGTAGATTAGTTGAGGTATAAGCACTGGGATTACCTTTTTATGTACTCTCTCCGTCCCAATTTATGTGATGGTATTTGACTGAGTGCAGAATTTAAAGAAAAACTTTTGAAATCAGTGGTCTAAAACATCCCATATATATTTCTTTGGCTATAAATCGTCTCATTAAGGGTAAAATAAAAAATTTAAAGCTAAAACTATTTCCAAATATAGAAATGTATCTTTCTTTTTGGAACAGAATAAAAAGGAATTAGTGTCACATAAATTGGGACGGACGGAGGGAGTGATACACACAAAATTAATAACACAAGGAATGAAAAGTTACAAAGTTTGATAATAGGAGTAATACTTTTTAGAATGCTTTTCTTGGTTTAGTGGACAATGATTGGCTTTTATTTGGTGGTTTGGAATCTGAGGTACTTGCTTACAGGCTAAGCAAGCAATAATAGTGAATAGAAAGGAAGATGAGCTGGTGCTTCTTTTTCTGTTTCTTTTTGTTTTTTTTTCCCATGCTTTTGCTTGTTATGTTGAGGGAGTTTGTTGCTAGAATGTTATATTCTATACGTAATTGTTTTGCTAGCTACTGTATCAAATGCTTTGCTTCTAGCCATGTATAATATATGTTGTTTAAAGATCGAAATTGAGTCATGTTTTAGAAGTATGCCTTTGTGTTCTGTTTTGGGGGTTTTTGGAGAATATCTTCGAGCCGTCATTAGTACGATGATGGAAAAGTTGAAGGAGATATGGAGTACACTTTTTAATGTAAGAGTTTATTTCTGAACTATGTCTCAAATTTGGTGTACAGTAGATTGAGGATTCCCTTTCCATTTCTGGAAAGTTTTGATGCCATTTTCCTTTGTGCTATAAGCTTCTAGTTATCTTCTTCACTGTAATGATAGCTAAGATTAGTTAAGCACCCAAAGGCTGAAAAAGAATTGCGTAAGCTCACTGATCATCTTGAACAATTTGTTCTCAAAGAAAGTTCCGTTTGTGGGCTATACTGCTATACAACAAGATGAGTCAAATACGAGTCTAGGAATTTGCTTAAGTAGTAATCCGAGCTACACTATTTCATGACAAAAACTTATCTTTTGCATTGCATTCAGTGGACTAAATTTAAATTTTTGAACCCTTTCCTGTTGGAGTTTTGAAGATAACTTTAGGTCGATTATTTCCTATTGTTGTAAGTTTTGATTCAAATAATGACGATATGAGCACTTCTGGCAGCATATTATTGCTTTATTTTCTACTTTGGGTATTGGAGAAGGGGGTTAGTTCCTCTAGCAGACCTCTTAAATCTTAATCTTTCAATGAAGAAATTCCTGTTAGTTAGAATGGGTTTAAAGTCTATCCTGGTAGTATTGGAAGTGGAACCACAGCAGATGACCTGATCCATTCCTGAACAATGCAATCAGAAATACTTAATAACTTAGTCATTATCAAAGCATCGGTGAATGGGAAATAAAATTGATGTAATGATTTATGTGAAGGACATGAAAGATTTGTATAAAATATGAACTTGTGTCAAATTAGATGTTTTTGTATTGTATTGCCAAGTGAAACTTGGAAGGTTGGTGAGAATAGAACAAGCACAACCATCTCAATCCCAAACTAATAGCTATGTATATCCTCTATATCATGTTGCTTCAGTCGGCCCAGTGCGTTCCGGTATGCTTTGTTATGACATTTTGTTGTATGTTTGGTGTATTCCTAACGTGGAAATGTAGTCATATTTTGTATATGTCTAAACGACATGGTAGGGTACAGTACACCCTAGACCCTGGGAATCTAGCTGAGTTGAGTGGACGTCGGATTATTGTAACATAAATGGCCGATAAGATCTCCAAGTTCCTCTTGAGGCCCGTTTTCAGCTCTTATTTATCAAAGATGTCTTCCGGGCAATGTAGGAAAACCACTTTATTGGGGTCTCTGGTCTCCCATTCAACAATGCTAAGAGGAATAATGTCATCATTGGCTCTTTAATTCCAAGAAGGGGAGAAGAAGGGTAAAGGATGGAGAAACCAAAAGTTTACTCTTCTTGGGTGGAGTACTGGTGATTTGCTACCTCTACTATGACCATAAAAGACATAAAAGAAGTTCATTCCTTTTTGACTAATTTTAATGGGCTTGAAAAGGCTGGAACTTTTTCCTGCTATTATCAAAGAAGGGAGATACTCTTAACTTATAGTGCATCTGGTTTACTTTTATCCTCTCACACTTCCCTTCTTAACCCAACCAAATAGATGAGGTAGCTAAATAGCAAGTATCATTTATGTAGCACTCCCTTATAGTACAACTCTTTCACTTACACAACATTGTCATCACATTAAATATGCCGTTAGACCGGCGAATAACATGGGGCATAACTTTTTGAGCCTTGCTTGGATGTTTTGTTTTGCTTTGATGCCAGTATGTCAGGAGGAAATCCAACTGTTTTTATAAGTTTATGTGAGACTTAATAACTAGTCACTTTGAGAAAGAAAAAAAAAGAAGTAAAGTTTAGTAACGCTTTTGGGTTGTATGTTGACTTCCTTAATTGCTTTTCTAAGTACCTGAATTTGCGAATTTTCACTAGTTGTTTGTGAAGTAAGACTTACTTGATTTTTGATGTGTTTGTGGTATTCACGACTGAAGTGATTATGTCAACCAATGATTTGTACATGGTAAACTGCAGTTCAACTGTCTCAAAGTTGCTTAAACCAATTAATAGTAGGCTTGCAATATATTTATAAAAAGTATAGGTTGATCATTGTTTTGATTGTTATCAGTTATTACATGGGACTTGTCGCGTCACTTGCACAATGGTATAGCCATATGGGGGCCATTGTTGTAACAGATCTCACATACCCCTGGATGAAGGGGGTGAGCACTGGTTGTTATGAAATGGATCTCAAACTTGACAATATAATATCATGAGGTTTCTGTCCATTTGTTCCCTTATATCTTGTTGACAGCGTACAGGTTTTTTTTTTCCTTTCTGGTTAAACTAATCATCTTTTATGGTTGTAAACCTGATTGTAACAGAGCAGAAGTTGTCTTGGGTGCTGTATAAAGCCTCCACATGTTATTTCAGTGGATAGGCCATCCAAAGGACAGAAAGTTCAGGGTAAACACTTGAGGAAACGTAGTTCAAGGGACGACTTCTGGAGCAGTAGTGCTTGTGAGATGGAGAATAGCGCATTTCCGTCACAGAGAAGCATCTCGTCAATTAGTACTTCAAATCAGGGCCTTGATCCCCATAGTAGCTCCAGCACCACAAATAACAACTCTGAATTTGTAAATCATGGCAAGTGCATATTTCGGTCCTTTTTGCTTTCATTGCGTATCATGGCTATATTTTATCTAGTAGTAACCTACTAACCTTTCTTCGGGATATCCAAATAAGTATTTCCACAGATGGGAAGAACCAGGTTAATTGTGGTAAAAGACATGAAACCTAAATAAGATTCATAGCTGTAGTGTCCTAAGGGCTATGTTAAAAAAGAATACAACAACAACAACCCAGTATAATCCCACTAGTGGGGTCTGGGGAGGGTTGTGTGTACGCAGACCTTACCCCTACCCTGGGGTAGAGAAGCTGTTTCCGATAGACCCTCGGCTCCCTCCCTCCAAGAACTCCCTACCTTGCTCTTGGGTTGACTCGAACTCACAACCTCTTGGTTGGAAGTGGAGGGTGCTCACCACTAGAGCAACCCACTCTTGTCAATGTTAAAAAGGAATAAAAGAGAAAAAAATTATGGATGAAATATGTGTGGCTTATTGATCAATATATTGGATGAAAAACCATGAGAGATCAGGGGTCATATTCCAGCGGAGACAAACACCGTTAGGTGATTACTTTCCATCTGTCTAAACCTTGGTGCGTAGAGTTTGCGGCTACGTGTGTCTATGCGAGATTGAAGGTACTCGTGGAATAGTCAAGGAGCATAAAACCTGGCCCTTGCACCACTGTTATTGAAAAAAAAATAGTCTCTCTGAAAATATATCAATTGATTCAAAGTTGTGTAATGGTTCATTAACACTTGGTGCGGACAAAACCAGCTCTATATACTGTTCATTCTTTTAGATTTGGCTTATTGCCCATGCAGAGATCCCATTGATCTGGGTGCACTAATTGGAGGAAGGCATGACCTAGCTGTGGAAGCACAAGTGCTCTCCTTTTTCATCTTAGCTTAGTTTTGTACTTCTCTCCACGTGTTTTTAATATGCTGAATTGAACATTTGCTGGAGCAGGTCTAATTCTTTGGAGTAAAACTAGGCAAGAATGGATTGGAAGTAGAACACCTGAGAAGCGTACTGCAGCTGGAGAACCTAAATTAAGGTGAGCATCTTTCCCTTCAAAACAATCCTCAGACAATTGATCTTTCAATTAGTAGCTCCCTGCTGATGTTTCAAAGTATCTACTTTCCATGCAACTGTAAATATATATGTGATGAGTGTATTTTTCTACCATCATTGCTTGCAGCTTCGATGCGAGTTACGAGACTTTGCTAGGGACCAACAAGCCTTTCCCTCAGTCAATTCCTCTATCAGTGAGTCTTGTTGAGCCTAGCATGGTTTTGGTACGTAGTTTTTTCAAGGCTAGCTACTGATTTTCTTCATTAAAATTTTCAGGAAATGGTAGACTTTCTTGTTGATGTCTGGGAACAGGAGGGGCTATATGATTGAGCTGCACACATAACTGGTCTTAACTCTTACCCAACCATTGCATTTCTGTTTGTAAAGTTTACAGAAAGCAGGGCAGAAAATATTAAAACAGTTATGTTTAATCACAAGATTTGTATGTTTACAGAGGAAAATTGAAATACCTGAAAGCTTTTCAAATGGAGGAGAGGACCCTTCTTTAATTTGCTAATAAACGAATTTATTTTCAAGAAACGTAATATTCAAGCATTCAAATGAGCTGCCTTTCTAGATAAATTTCTGCAGTAGTATTGGTTACTTATTATTATTATTTTTTATTTTGGTGAGGATTTTGGAAGACAACATATCTTCCTGTGTTCTTAGTCATGATGTCAATCATTTTGACTCTTACAACTTGTAAAAAGGTGTTTGTAGGTGATCCTAAGGAAATATTACATCCTTTCCATAAAGAATGAAGAAATCCCGAATATGATGGCCAATGCAAATTCAGGACACTCAATATTTTAAATCTTTATTAGAAAATGTCGAAACTAAATTTAATATACTATAAGAATATATACAAATTAATTGTTAAGAAAAAAAATTATTTGATTTTTCCAATAAAAATATGCTTATCACAGTCTTATCACGATAATTGTAGTGAAGAGCAAACTGTGAAGGGTCAAATACTTTTATCTGTTTTATTTTGACTCATCTAAATGTGTCTTTAGTAAAAGTGAATATACTGATATAGCATATAAATTGTTTTTGCACCGACAGAGAATATTTAGTATAAAAATTTACCTTAATTAACATGATAATGTTATAAAACAATAAAAAAAAGAAGAAAAATATTGCAGAGAAAAATAGAGATAGAAAATTTTTATTGATTTGAGATCAATTACAATGGAATATAACCCCTCTATTTATAGAGGAAAAGTGAGTTAGTCGCAAAGTAACAAACTCTAAAATCTCTCTAAAAAATAGGCATTCACCATAAATAAAATACTATTATAATACCTCCCCCNTAAAATCCAGTGGAAAAAAATATTCTAGTGAGAGAAAAAGAGTACACATATCTAACAATACACCTTTTGGTTTGCCTCGTTAAAAATCTTTCAAGAAAAACCTAATGGGACAAAACCTTGTAAGGAAAAAAGAGTACAACGCGTATTAACTCCTCCTGATGAGACAATCAATTCATATCTTTGAGCCTTCGCACTTCAATTTTGTGCATCTTCAAAAGATCGTTGGTAAAAATTTGATAAACAAATCAGCCATATTAACTTGGAAGAAGATGTTGCACCTTGAAATCATCATTCTTCATAGAGATGTATTGTCTTCATATGATCTTGTTGGAATCGTCATTTCAATGTCTTCGTCATTTCAATATCTTCACATAGGGCTAAAAACTCTTGCTACCATATTATCATGTTTATAGTTATAGCGAGATTATATATATATATATATTTGCACTTTAGATGTGCTAATTCAGGATCAAGAAATTCTCCAAGAATTATATATGCTATAAGTATTTTAAATCATTCATGGATTATAATATAAGTATAGTCAAATAAGCCATATAAATAGACTTTAGATTTACATCAAGTTTTCATGCCATGCCACGCATATAAGATACATGAAAGTAATTGTACACAACATTGACTTTATACTTTTGAGTGTTTGAACTACATGTCCAAAACTATATGCCTTTCATATGAAACCAATTCTATTCGAATTGTGTCTCTTTCATTTGGCCAATATTTTTGTGTCTCTATTCGACAGACTTAAGATCCTCATCTACTTAGCGCTATCATACATGTCGTCGATGAATATTTTATATTTATTCTAATATATTTTCGTAAAGACATAACATAGAGATCTCTTTATTCATTTCAGGTACCTGAACCTCTCCTGCGTTTTTATGAAATGTTATGTCATGTACTCTTCTAGAGCACTTCCTTATAATGAGTGTTTTGATCATTTGCTCATCTTCTTTATCAAGAATCTTATTTGAAATCGATTTGTCTATATGCTTTAAGCATACCAGTTACTTTATCCTTTTAGGACTTATTCTAATCGGAGCATGTGCAGTGAAAATATAGTTACTTTCTTTGGGTTAGCAAATGCATATGGCATGCTTTGAAATATATGGTAGATGAATTATCTTTTTATGAATTTCAAGTTCATATTATCTTATTCGAGGATCTAGATGTATAAATGATTATTCATTCCACGTAATTTTTTCTCAATTGTTTATCTTGTCTCCCCCTCATGTTAGAAAAACTAACTTGCTTCCTCAACTTTGGAAACCCACCTTTGTGCGTTATGGTGGTGTTAATCAAAATATACATCGCAAATTAATAAGATGAAATTATTTGGTTCATGATCCTAAACTACTTGTGAGGGGAGAATGTAATATACTTTCGTATACAACGTATATCAAACTGATATAGATAACTTTATTCTCATAAGCAATAATTTAGCTATTAAGTGGAGGTACTCAATAAATTATTTTTGCTAAACCAACTGTGATGTAAACCAACTTATCAAGATGAACTCTCTTGAATAGAAAATCTGAAAATTATGTTCTAAATTAAATTATTGAGCAAGTTACCTCGCAAATACCAGGTTGTGGGTTAATAATAACCGCACATGTAAACATATCATAGATATATCTTATGTGGTATACATGACAAGAAATGGGTTTATATTCACGTTTGATAATTTCAGCATTCACGGGATTCAATTCTAATTTTAGTTGTTCTATTAATTAATGAGAACAAGCAACATAGGAGAATTCGTAAAGAACTTTCTAGTTCTTTAATATTTACTATGTGAATTCTCTTTTTTTTTGGCACATCATACTTAAATTAACATGGTTAAACTAATTATGCCAACTGGATAAATTATCATATTGATAAACTTCAGGTTTATACCATGACGTGTGTAATTATCAATAAACTCCAAATTTATTATGATATGAGTTTTTATATCAATAAACTTCTACTTTATTGTGGCATTCTTTTATTTGTGTAGGACAAATTAGAGAATAAAGTGGGTAGCTTTTCACATACATATTATCCCGCTACAAGTTGTAGTAATAGAAGATATTAAATCTTTCATTTATTTATAGTCTCGATATAACCAAATGCTTTCGCGAATACTTTAGAAACTCAATAATTTTTTTTAAGACTTACTACGAACACAATACCTTATTGATAATCAATTTTATTTCTCCAAATAGTATAATTGGTTCTTCCAGAGCTCTCAATTAATTTTGTACTATCACATATTCATCAATATACATATGGTGAGTATCTCTTTAAAGGAGAAAGTTATACCATTATGGTCGTGGTCAAAATCATTATAGGCAGTATATGTTGCTTCCATTACTTTTTGCCTTGTAATAATCAAATTGCCATTATATTTTGCCATAATCACAATAGGTACGTGATCAATGACCATTCATACCATAATAATGAAATTATTTTCCTTTTTTATCTTAAACCTCCTTCTAGATGTGAGTATGGTATATTCACTACTACTAGCACGTTCATATTCTTCCAAGAATGAATATGTATTCATAAATTACATGTTGTCACATTCACATCATGAATGGACAATAATCATCTATATGCGCTTTACAAAATCGCATGTCAAATCGATGACAAATATTATTTTTACAGAGTGAAAGATTATTTTGAGAATCATTATTGTTCTCGTTACCATAGTGATGGCGATTTTAATTTTGTCAACTGCCACGTCCACATCCATTGATACATCATGGTAATAATTTTGTTTTCTTTCAGATTTATCACATACTGCTATCACATCTCTTAAGGGAACGAGAATGAAGCAAATTCAATGAGACATGTTTTCACTTCTTGTGCTCACAATCATATATGAATTTGATCAAGGCAAGACATAAAATTTTATTACTTAGGGAGCGTATAATTTCTTACAAACTCTATTAGAGTTATAATCAAAATTTATTATCTTTGCTTGTATTTAAAATCAAATTATAGAATTTCAAGAATTTAATTGAGAAAAATAAAGCAAAATAATAAGCTTAAATCCGGAATTTATTCTTGAAAGAAGATCATAGAACAATTGACAATTATTATTCTCAATATTATGTACAAGTAGAGTACCATGCACGTATCCCAAAGCTTAATGACCAAAGTAGATGCCTAGTATAAGAATATCAATGCATTCAAGCAAGAGCCTCACGTAAATTCCTATATCTTTTCTCCATGTGTGCTTTAATTTCTCAAATATTAGACAACTAACTAATAGTATATCTATAAATTAAAACAACCGTCCACTACTCAATTGGTTAGAGTTTTATGCTGATAACGTGTTATAAAACAATAAAAGAAGAAGAGTATTGCAGAGAAAAGTAGAGAGAGAATTCTTATTTATTTGGGATCAATTACAATGGAATAAAACCTCTCTATTTGTAGGAGAAACGTGATAGTCACAAAGTAACAAATTCTAAAATCTCTCTAAAAGACATATATTCACATATATTCAAAGTAAAATATTTTGTCATAATTCTTGGAAGAGAAAAACTCTATGACTAACCGAACTAAGGGCACGTTTATTTGTAGACTTTTATCTTGAATTATCCAAATGTGTCTTGAGCAAAAGCGAAATATTTTCTCTTAATTTTTGGAACTTGCTGGGATAAAAAGAGGAAAAGAAGATTTATTGAAGGTTTGTAGATCATTAATATGTTCAGATATAGGTAATGCTAGAACAGCCTCCATAAGGCATATATAAGGGTCAATTATGTAGAACAGGTAGTGGGATATTTCCAGCATTAGATGATTGAATAAAAGAAGATAATTAGGTGCATAAAGACATAAACAGTGACACAGAGAATATAATGATTTATAAAAGGAAGACGTGTATGTCAATGTATTTTATGTGCCAAACACACATAATTGACTAATACGTACATCTTTAAAGCTACTACTATTACTAAAGCAGTCCTCATATATATATTTCATTTCATACACAATTGCCTTTTTTGACTAAATAAGGAAGCGTGTTTGGAAATATGTGTTAAGTGGTACTTGGGTCCTACATGTTATACCCATTTGGGGACAATTAAGTGATATTTCTTCACATTTAATCGTCGCAAGGTTTGAGTCCTACTTAAGAGAATGAAAAACTCTTTCATAAGAAACGTTTTATCTCCTTAGTAAATCTATTTCCAATCAATTTCGACTGCTCAATGGTTAAACCTAAAAGGGAACAAGAATATTTCATCCTCAAGTCCCTATAAAAGG